ATGATGGCTTTGTTTGAAGAACAGACCAACATTAGACACAAATAATCTTGATGAGATGATGATTTAAAAAAAATAAAAAATAAAAAATTCCCAGCAGAGGTTAATAGAGATACACAAATGTTATCCACCCGGGAGGCTCACTTGAGCAGTTTAAATGTGAGGACGTCAGAGTTTTATTCTCAGCTGTGCTGTGTCTCTCACAGTCTGCATGAAGGGAGGATGAGAGGAAATCATTTTTTGGTGTTTTGGACTGCACCCTGTGAAGCTTAGTTCAGAATAAAGGAAATACTTCCTGTATATCAGTTTAAAGGGACAGTTCACCCTAAAATGAACCCCTGTACATGTTCCAAATGTAGTAGTTTATGATGGAATACAAAAGGAGAAATTTATCAGAATGAGACCAGAATAAAAAGTTAATGACTCTCCAGCTCCAAAAATGACACAAAAGCACCGTAAAAGCACCGAAGTAGCATAAAAGCATTTCAGCACTATATTGTAAGTCTTCAAAAGCTGTATGATGGCTTTGTTTGAAGAACAGACCAACATTAGACACAAATAATCTTATTTAAAGGCACAATATGTAATTTTCGCCGCTAGAGTGCGCGTATTCAAAATAAACAAAGAGACAAAGGCGTTGTTTGATGACGCCGTGACTGAGTGTGGAATCATGGGAGTTGTGGTCTTCATCCCCACAGCCGATGCAATCCAACGGGACTCGGGCAGAAATCATGTTCATGGATGAGCTAATGATTTATTAACGTAGCAGAATGAAGCAGGGTGAGGCTGAAAGCCGTCGAAGCGAAACGAGGCTGCTGAACGAGCGCGACACACGGCTGGAAAGCAGCGGAGCTTTTATTATGCCACAGTCGAGCGCTTCCGCTGCTTCCGGTCGTGCGTATGTGGGGTAAAGCAGCGCTGTTTTAGATACAGCGTCTATACTAGTGTCCACAGAGAACGAGAAACCGCTGACTTGCTTCACACAAAAAGGTCAGCAAGCCAGTCTCAGGGGTGTTTGTCCACCAACCTGGCTGAGTGGCAAAATCAGATACGTTTGAAAGTTCTGTTATAATGCTACTAGGGAAGTCGTGGCCTAATGGTTAGAGAGTCGGACTCGTAACTCGTCTAAAGGTTGTGGGTTTGAGTCTCGTACAGGCAGGGATTGTAGGTGGGGGGAGTGAATGTACAACGCTCTCTCCCACCTTCAATACCACGACTGAGGTGCCCCTGAGCAAGGCACCGAACTGCTCCCCGGCCGCCACAGCAAAAATGGCTGCACACACCACTGCTCCGGGTGTGTGTTCACGGTGTGTGTGTGTTCACTGCTGTGTGTGTGCACTTTGGATGGGTTAAATGCAGATTCCACATGTCACGTCACATGTTCACTTCTCTGTGCGGTCGTCACCGGTTTATTAAAACACACAACATATTAAAGCGTCTTCCATGTTTTCTACAAAACAAAACCGAGGGGTTATAACGTCATTGGCAGGCGACACAATGACACTATGCTCCGTGTCACTAGTTAAAATTGTTTATTTCTCTGGATTTAAACATTCTTCGAAACATTTGGGATAATGTAAGTACACAAGTCAGCAAAATATATGTTCTAGTGGTTTTTGGATATTTTAATAAAAAATCTTACATATTGTGCCTTTAAACTACTTTTCGTGTGACTAAAAGTGTCGTGTCAGGTTTGGCGTAAATGATGATCCTTGCGTTCAAATATGCATACTTCACTAGTAATGTAGTATATCTGGATTTCATTCACACTATATAGAACATACTTTTTTAATGGGTCACAAATACTTACCTACTCTGACAGTGTGAGATTTCCAACTGAAATTTCGATTCCATTGACAAAATCTGCCGTGACATCTTGAAATGGCGTCTAGACGTGTGGGGAAATAAAACAAGATATCATGGCCGCTTATTAATTCATTACCTTGTTTTGGTTCAATCGTTGAGTATTCATTGTATTATTTCACCACTATTTTCTTCTGCATGTCATGTGTGAAGCCCCGTACTGATTGTGCTTAAATTAGATTTATGTTTTATTATTTGTCGTGAGTTGTTTGGACCCCAAGGTACTTTTATCATGCTCTTTTGTCATTTTTAATGATTAAACGTTTTCTCTGTATTGGAAAAGAGCATCCTGAACATTTTTAGGTAAACGTCATATGACGAATCACTTATGCACTTATGATCCTTTGTCTGCTACTTTTAGAATAATTACATTAGATATGAGGTATTTATGTCGTAATTCTCTCCAACAAGCTGAGTTTTGTCTTCTGGGGAGGAACTACAGGAGGAACTCTTCCCAGGTCAGGTTCGGACATCCTGTTAAACACAAAGATCCTGGTTTGGGATGCCACTTCCTTCCTCTGTCCGTCTGATTGTCCACAGTAGTTATATTAGCGGACATCCTCTCTGTCCAGTTTCAAAGGCACTACACTAATATATGTGAGGGAATCACTAACGTGTAGATGTGTTTCGTAAATGTTGGTTTATTTATTTTTGCAGTGAAATAACAATATGTGCTTGTGTATTTCACATGTGTTGTTGATATATGGCAGTTTGGGTTGGGATGTATATGAGACTCTGAAAGGCTCTGCTCATTCCCCCAGAACTCTTGAATTGAGCTTGTTTTTCTGTCCATCCCTACGGACTGCAAACACATTCTTACCACTAGGGGGCGGCAGGTGTAATACACACTTTAAAGGGGTCATATGATGCTGCTAAAAAGAACATTATTTTGTGTATTTGGTGTAATGAAATGTGTTTATGCGGTTTAAAGTTAAAAAAACATTATTTTCCACATACTGTACATTATTGTTTCTCCTCTATGCCCCGCCTTTTTGAAACGCGTCGATTTTTACAAAGCTCATCAGTCTGAAAAGCGAGGTGTGCTCTGATTGGCCAGCTATCCAGTGCGTTGTGATTGGCCAAATGAGTGCTACTCTACACTGTCCAAAACTCGCGTTAGAATCATCAGTGGCAAATGATAAAAGAAAACGTACTTACGTGAGACAGAACTGCCTTTTTGTCTAACGTTACTCTCCCAGGATCAGTAAACAGTCCTCCATAAAATGTGCCGGCGATCCACAGCACTTAGTTGTAGTATTTCCTCAGCGACCAGCACGGATCAGCTCTAGGCATGACGAAGCGGATATCGTCCTCTTTTGGAAGACCAAACAAAGTAGTTTCGCTTTCACAACGAAGCACACAGCGCCTTCACGACATGGCGGCGGCGGCAACAGTACTACAGCGAGAATAAAAGTTACGCCTTCTTTCTTTGCGTGAACATTTGGGCGGCGTTATGCAAATCTTCCCACATAGTGACGTAGACATGTGGGGGCGTGTCAGAACGAGTCCTTTTAGGTTGGCGTGGTTGACTCTTAACTTTTATAAAGAATATCTCTTTGAATTTGAGACTTTAGTCTTTGCAAATTTACAGATCTTCTTTATGCACCAAGAGCTTTGTAACACTCCAAAGAGAAAGGAAAAATTTAAATCACATCATATGACCCCTTTAAACATGCTTCCTTATGGCTTTACATACAGCATAAACTCTGTATCAAGCCACAGAATGTTGCAGATATGCAAAACATTTGAGTGGAATATACATTTGACTAGTTATTGTTATCTGCAGACTTGTAACTATGACACTTTGACGAGACGAGATTTGAACTAAACGTTGGCTTTAGTTTCATATTTAATGATTTAGTTTTTTTTTTCAAATAATTAAGTATTTCAATATTCACAGTTATTTTCAAAACAATAATCTCAGTATTTTTTATGCAATTGCAATTTAGTTATTTGTAATTATTATTCTAGTCTATTCTATTCTAATTTAATTAAATGTAAGAATTTGACATAAAAGATGCTGCATGCATTAAAAATTGTTCACATTTGAAAGCTATCACTCAGAAATGAAAGAAAATGTAAATAAATGAAAGTTTATTTTCGTAGTTTTACTACATTAAATTAAAATTCAATTCAAAATCGAGTACCAAATTATGACCCCTATAATAAAAATGAAGTGCTTAAGAAATTGCTGTGAGATTATGAATGATCCCAATCCTAATTACTGAACTGTTCATGGTCTTATTACAAATACCACACTTAAATTATGTACGAATTACGGCAAACTGCTATCAAATTTGCAATTTTTTAAATCTAGACTGTAAAGGTCTTTGCACACTGAGTCCGAAATTTTCACACGGTAAAAAATAAATACGACCTCACGTTGCATCAATCACGTTTATACGTTTCCTCCGAAACTTTCGTCCGTCATAAAAAAAATCAGTTCGGGTTCAATTTTCTGTGTTTTTCGCATCCGCAGCAAGCATTTGACTCAGTGTGCAAGGTTTCTGTGCATGACGATGATCAATACGAAAAAACGCGTTCGAAAATTTCGGACTCAGTGTGCAAAGACCTTAACACTTTAGTTTAGGCACCAATTTATTCCAACTGCCATTGATATTTTAAATAGGATCTTAAAATGAATTTTTTTTTTAAGTTGTGTTTTTGTGATGTAATGTAGTCTGTTGTTGTGAGGACTACTTGTGCTGTTTTTGTGTTGAGCCTTTTGTCTAAAGACAATTTTCTACCCCATTGGGGATAGACAATAAAGCTTTTGAAATTGAATTGAAATTGTTAGCCTGCCAATTAGCATGCATATTGGCTGGTTATTAGTACTTATAAAGCACATATTAATGCCTTGTTCTGCATGACCATATTCTAGATCCCTAATCCTACCCAATAGCTAAACATAACTTCTACCTTACTTAATATTAATAAGCAGCAAATTAAGAGTTTATTGAGGTAAAAGTCATAGTTAATAGTAAGAATTGGTCCCCAAATTCAAGTGTGACAATCTAGGCTGTAATGTTTTCTGAAGACAAGCCTAATTAACAGTAATAGTGATGCATTAGTAAGCACCATGATTAATATGTTCAGTTAAATATCATGTCTTGATGAAAATTCTCTCTCTCTCTCTTCAGGAGGCGTTTGTGGAGCTCTACGGCAGGCAGAGGGACTCTGTGTTTCGCAGCTCGTGGTCATCGATAGTAACGGTCTTCGGTCTAGCTGCGCTTGGGGCCGTTGGCTTGACCATAGGAGCCTACCTTGCTCAGAAATGAGGAACCTTGCCCTTCTTCAGTCGTTTGCCCTCTCTCTCCGTCTGAACCCCTCCTCTGCTTTCCCCAGAAGACGTCCCAGGACTGCTCCTCTTCAAAGCCTCTCTCCTACTCTCTACAAGGCTTTCTTCTCTGCCCTCAAACACAAAGACAGAAAAGACAGGAAGTGAACGCGCTGCCGACAGATCATGAGAGGATGGAGGAAAAGAAGAATAATGAGGTGAAAGAGACACAGTGTCATCGGCAGAATTAGTTCAGATCTCAAAGTGAAACATTTTTTGACAGTTTTGGTGTTCGTATATGTAAAAATGATGGGAAAATACAAAGGACAAGCCACATCTGGAGGTTTTGAAGGTCTGTGCTGATTGAAAGTATCTTCGGATGACACCAGCGCTCTCCAAATGTCCTTTAAGAGTCGGGTTGATCTTAAGAGACAATCTGCACTAAACTACCATCGTTGGTCTTAGTTGTTTTTGTAGGATTAATTGTAGCCCATCTTCTACCCATTGCTCTTTCAGGCTACCGTTTCTTGTGCTGCCATTCTTGTATCATAGAGATAGAAAGAACCTGAAGAACTGTGAGGAGGAAAAGAGAGAAATGTGGAGACAATGTCCCTCAAGGCACTGGATTTTGATCAAATTTCGACAGAGGGGTGAGATCCAGTATGTAGAGGGAACAGTTGAAAAATGAATAGTGGGATGCCAGTCTCTCTTTCTAAAGAGCTTTATTGAGGACTTAAGAAGGGTTTCCTTGAAGTGCTTTGGGCCAGAAAGTAACCAGAAAGGACAGAATGGGAAAGCACTTTTCAGACTTTGAAAGAGCCTTGGTTAGACACTTTATTGACATGTTCAACAGATGCGTGTGAGCCAGTCAAAAGATCTCAAACTGTACAGTATGTAAAGAGGTGACGCTTTATTCTTCTTAATACTGCAACAACACTTCTGTTCACTCTAGTGTTCATTCATACACCAAAAGAAGCAGCTGGGTGGATCTCAAATCTGTCGAGAGCAAGTCAAGGTTATATTTCACCTCAAAATCAAAAGAAAGATATATTAATATATTATATATACACACTACCGTTCAAATGTTTGAGGTCAGAAAGTTTTTTTAAAAGAAATGTACTTTCATTCAGCAAGGATGCATTAAATTGGTCAAAATTGACAGGCTTTTATGTTACAAAATCAAATTTCTGTTTCAAATAAATGGTGTTCTTTTAAACTTTATATATCAAAGAATGTTTTCGACATTGATCAAATAAGAAATGTTTCTTGAGCAGCAAGTCAGTATATTAGACTGATTTCTGAAGGATCATGTGACACTGAAGACTGGAGTAATGATGCTGAAAATTCAGCTTTGATCACAGGAATAAATTAAAATGTAAAGAATATTAAAATTAGTGCTGCCAAACAATTAATCGCGATTAATTGCATCCAAAATAAAAGTTTTTGTTTACATAATATATGTGTGTGTACTGTGTATATTTATTATATATATATATATATATATACAAATACACACACATACAATATATATTTTGAAAATGTCATATATATATTTATATAATTTATTAAATATATTAATATATTTAATATATAAACATAACATTTGTTTCTTAAATATATACATGCATGTGCGTGTATTTATAAATACATAATAAATATACACAGCACACACACATATATATTATGTAAACAAAAACTTTTATTTTGGATGCGATTAATCGTTTGACAGCACTAATTAAAATAGAAAGCAGTTGTTTTAAATGCTAATAATATTTCACAACATCACTGTATACATGCATCCTTGGTGAACAAAAGTGACTTCATTCAAAAACATCTTTTGAAACATGCCAATAGATATAAAGCACATTTCTCCCCACCATTCATATTACTGGAATGTAATGATTTAAATAAAGCACATATTGCACACACACAAACACACATACTGGGGTGAGATGTGACTGGGACATTCTTTCACAAAAGTCCAGATTTTTCATTACTATTATTATTATTTAATTTCCAAAGCATCATTTTCAGGGTTCCGTTTGGACCAGTATAAACAAGTGGAAATCTGCAATGGAACAGATTTACAGATTTACAGTTTATATGTGCAATCTTCCTGATGTCTGTTCCCAAAACAGCATGCTTAAATGTAATCCTGCCACATGTTTCAAAGATTGCCACGCAGCAAATGAAAGGTTTAAGTGCAAAACCTATGGACAAGAGCAACTGTATACAGTGTGTGCCATGGAGTAAGCTTTGGAGCTTTTGCATCAGTCGCCTTTGGGTTCACACGGAGCCTCGATGAAACTTCGGAATGACAGAGGGACGTACGGCGTTCCCAGAAGGCGGCGGTTATTAAATGTTTGCTTGCACTGATGTAGGATCGGAGGTCATATGCTGCATCGTTCCCTATGATCTCCTCTACAGACAGTGGTGCTGTACGGGGTGCTAAGAAACATTTGAGAAATGGGTGCCCCCTTACATCCTGAAGCAGTCAATGTTACTTGTTATCTGACTTTATGGATGTATGTTCATTTTATAATGTGATCATGTCTAAAATACACATACAGTATTTTAACAGGTGGTTGATGGATGGATTTGCAAATCAACCAAAACCAGGAAAGCAGAAGAACGTGTAAGAGAAACTTAGCTACGTATCTGTATGTGGTCAACAAAACCTGTCTGAAAGGATTGAAGCTTTATGTAAAACAAGTTGGCTTTCAAAACGAACAGTTTGTTTGGTTACTATAGTGTCATAAATAGATATGGTTTGTCTCTCGTTTATGGCTGCGATTCTCTCTGACACTAACATTTGTTAAACATATTCTATATAATTCACCTTTATTTATTTTTAGGTACCTTAAACAATCGTCCAACTGTAGCTCCAGAAGATCATTTAGAGTTTATTTCGTTTTAATGTTTTAGATACTATGAACAATACAATTTGCTGAATCAATGCTGCTTAATGTAAAGATTAGAAATTCTATAAATCATAATGTAATTGCCTGTTCTGTGTGGCGATGTCATAAATATTAATGCTTCATTTCATGTAGTCACTTCCATTGTTTCTTTAGCTGAATGGAAATCCAAATCAAAACTTTATTTTTTATCTAACTGCCTAGCCCAGTGAAATTCATTCTGCGATTGTATTTTCACTAGTGATGTCAAAATAATGATTAAAATGACATTAAGATTATTAATAATTATTAATGTCTTTAAAGGAAATTTCTGAAACTTGAGTGTGTATTTAGATTTTAAAACACTTCACTGCAAAACATTTTCTTAATTAGTATGTTCTTTCTCCATCTTCTAAATTAAAATAATTACAGCAAGCTAAATTTAATGGAGACGCAAAACTGATTATTTTTGCATTGTCTAACAAAACCGTCAACACTATAAGTATGCAAACAGATTTCTCATTAAATGTCTCATTTTAGTTCATGGTTACATCATGTTCATTAATTCAATCTGTCAATGAACAGTAAATTCAGCTGTTTATCTTCACTAAAGGTGATTTGTCTAAAACCGGCATGTTAAAATTAAGCTTTAGCTTGAGAAAATACTGTATGTCTTTTAGTTTGATGTTTGGAAAGCTACGTAATTTATATAAATTTATATATATATATATATATATATGCTGTATAAATTGACTTTTCTTTGCGCTAATATATTAGAGTGTGTTGAAGAAGAAGAAAAAAAATTATATTAGTCGATTAATAAATGCATCATTCACTAGACTGTATTGAACTTTAGGTGACATCTCTTTCATGAGCACACATTAACACATTCAAAAGTAAAGGTGAAAAAGTCAGATTTCACAATGTACAGCACTAGACACAAAATACATGTCTGTTTCTGAATGATCCTGTATTGTGTTGTTGTTACACCTGGAGCGATTTCACTGAAGAAAAGCTGTTATACTCTGTGACAGCAATGCACAGGACACACAGAGTCACCGTGCTGTGTTTTAGGTCTCATGAAAATGCGTATAAGGGTGATTCTTAGACTATGGGCACTTTTATGTTCTTTGGTCATATTTATAAAAATACATATAATTTTGGACAAATTCCTCTTTCTTAGTCAAACTAACAATAAAACCACCTTAAAAACTTTTTACTACCTTTCTATTATGATTTTTTTATACTTTTCAACCTCCTTATAGGTGTCAAAATCACAAGACTTTTATAAAAGCTGGCCCTATAAAATATGAAGAGAGACTTAAAAGAGACAGGGAGAGATACCTGAGGAAAAAAGAAAAAGGAGTAGTAAAAGCAACTGTAGATCTGTCAAAGCGGGAGCAACGCAAACAAAGGAGAATAAAGCAAAGAAATAGACGAGAGGAGATAAAAAAAAAAAAAAAAAAATAAGAACATTTCAGTATAAAACTCTAAAAAAAAAAAAAAAAAAAAAAACTGGCGATTTTTTTTTTTTTTTTTTTTTTTTTTGTAAAAATTCAATTTTTTTAA